AACAGCCGTTAAATCTATAGTATATATGATACACAGTAGATATCCGATGTATTTATCCAGTAACAAAGTATAAAATATTCATTCTAGGATTTCAAAAGGCTTCTTATTAAGTCTTGGAAGGAATAGTTTGTTTTACAGCGAATGCTTGAAGCACTTTGCCTAATTAAAAAGAAGAAAAACAAGAGGAGAGAGAGAGAGAGAGAGAGAGAGAGAGGGAAGGAAATAAATTGGACAAAGAGAGAGACAAAATGAGGTAACATCGTCGTACAAGGGCGTCAGACCTTCAGCTGAAACCCATGCGGGGCGTGAGCGAGGGAAGGGGCGGTAGCTGTTAGCTGTTGCTATTTGATCAATAAACAGTTTTATTTATAGAGCCGCGCGACAAACAAGGTCCAAAGATGTTGCCAACATTCCATTTAATTATAATAATTACATATGATCACATTTACCCAGCGATTTATCTCCTCGACTTGGACTTATCTAAAACGCAATGTGAAAGTCACGTTATGGCCGATGTGTCTTATCAACGAATATTCCAGCTATGCGAAATGCATAAGCGTATGCGATAAGATAATACGCACTGCAAACTTGACTAAATGAATATAGTTAGTTATGTTAGTATTTTATTATATTTGCCAAATTTGTTTTAATAGTTGTCAGCCTGGGAATTAGCTAAAGCTGTCAAGAACAAATAGTATTCGAAATGTGTATATGTATATGTATGATGTATATAAATTATAATATATATTATATAAGGAAAATACCAAAAAAGAAAAAAACAAACATAGAGAGTATATTTTAGTAAATATAAGAAAAGCTTAATGTTTTTTTACATTTCGGCTAGAGTTAAAAGAAATTCACATTTTAATGTTTACCAAGAGAATTCAAAACAATGAAATATTAATTAGAAAATAGTTAAATGCGAAAACTTTGAGAAAACTTATTAGAAAAAAAATATACATAAAACTTTATTTAAATTTTAACTTACAACTGAAACTAATTAATGTCTTCTCTTTCGGTTTTTATAGCACACCAAACGCACCGGCTGGGTGCTGAGGGATGTGAACGATTGTGAGTCGATCTCTGGACATATGTACCGGATGAGCATGCTGACGTTTTTGTTAGACGGCAGCGAGGGTCTGAATCAGATACGATGCATGGAGCTGGCGCTGGTGCATGATCTGGCCGAGAGCTTGGTGGGTGACATAACGCCCTTCTGCGGTGTCTCCAAGGAGGACAAACGTGCGCTCGAATTCAAGGCCATGGAAGATATCTGCAAACTGATTGAGCCGCGCGGCAAGCGCATCATGGAGCTCTTCGAGGTAAGAGGATATGGTTAAGACCTGGGCGTAAATTCAATTGATGCTCAAAATTTTTTACTGTAGGAATATGAGAATGCGCAGAGTCCCGAGTCCAAGTTTGTTAAGGATCTGGATCGCTTGGATATGGTAATGCAGGCGTTCGAGTATGAGAAACGTGACAATTGCCTGCTGAAGCACCAAGAGTTCTTCGACTCCACCGAGGGCAAATTTAATCATCCGTTTGTCAAGAAGCTCGTGAACGAGATCTATGAGCAGCGGCAGCTGCTGGCCAAGGCCAAGGGTGCCACGCCGCCACCGGCCATTCAAGTGCCTAATATGTCAGCAGCGCCCACAAATTTGGCCAACGGGCATGGCAGCTCCAGTTGAAGACGATGAAAGAATGTGAATGGGGGAAGGAGAGGCCAATGCACTGTGACGCTCTAATTGTGTTTAAGTTTTGAGATTTAGGTTTAGCACATACAACATAGACAGACACACATACACACTCACAATCACATGCATATATATACACACACACCTACTTTATAAGCAAATCCAACTAACAAAGATTGTTCAGCCTACCTCGACACGCTCATAGCTAGCATATATATATGTATGTACATTGATATGTATGTATATACGCATATATATATTTGTATTTTTAATTTATTAAACAATTGATATAACTTTAATTTTGTAGCTAACTTGACACCAATTGTTAAACACCTTAGTTCAATTTATGTTTATATATATAAGCGTTAAAGCTGTAGCTAAATATTTGATTGAAACAAGAACTCGATTGTATATATATTAAACAGTTTAAACTAATTGTAGCTAAATTTTACAAACTAACAATTTAAATGTTGTCTCGAACAGCAAAAGAAAACGCTTAAACTATTGTATTTTATTCAAAAATTCAAATTTACTTTTATTCATTTCCTAAATGTACTTTCCCTTGAACAAACACTTGATGTATAATTATAAACCAAATAAGAAAAAAATAATAATAATAAAAAAAATAATAATTTAAGTCATGCTACAAAACTGACAAACAAAAAAAGAAATATTGCTGTTTATAATAATCAAAACTAAATAGTTACATTCCATGCAGGAATTTGTATATATCTTCCGATTTGCAGTGTATTAGCACCGTGAGTAGCAATTGTGGTTGCTAAGAGGGACGCGCGTATTTATAAATGCACTTTCGTTGTCTTTCTCAGCCAGCGAGTGTTTGCATATTGCATACCTGCACACTACTTAAATGTGATTGGTCTGAATGCTTTTGATCCCGTTATGTTAGCAAAATGAGAGCATTGTGGATCGTATGCTCACATTGTGGATGCTAGAAGAGGCAAGAGAATTTGTAAATACTCTGCTGTTCCTTTGCTCAGCCAGAGAGCTGTGGAGTTGTCCAATTGCTTTTGATCCCGTTAAAAGTAAGAAAGCTATTTTTGTGGATCGCAATTATAAAAGTCCGCGTCGCTCTTCGTCTGGTTTAGTGAATCACGGGCATCGCGTAGTAATCTATCTATACGTGGGTGTATTTCGGGAGTGTTTTAAATGCGGTCGCATATGTGTATTAATAATAATCGTTGATATGTACATAAATACATACATATGTATGTTAAAAGTGCAAAATGTAATTTTAAGAAATTAGTGTTTTATTTTTGAGCAATCGTTACTTAAAGTGAGAAAATGTTAGCTTGAGGCATTTGTTCAACATGCGAGTAAGAGCGAGATGGACCGATTGAAATCACGTGTTAATAAGTGAGTAAGCCGCTTTGTTAAACAGTTAGTTTTTATGTCTCTTTGGTATGCCCTTTCAAAGAGCATTATATATTTTTTCAAACATTTTGTAACAATTTAAAACCATAATTGAACAGTTCGCAAAGAAAAATTATTATATTGATAATTTATTTATTGCTTTACGAAATATGAACTTTAATGGGTAACTTAAAGTAGAATAAAACCTTCTATGTATATACAGTTATATATTTATTTTTAATTTTATTGCTTACAAACACAAAAGTTTATTAAAGTAATTGACGATTATGATACACGCATAGCTGATAATACTTTGATGGCAACTAATGAATGCTTTATTTGCCAAATACTCTGAAATTGAATAGATAGATTAATATTTATTTATATACATAGTATATATTCATATATGTATATTAAATTATATACCTTCGATGACAATAAACTGATTGTCTCGAGATGAAGTCTGATGTGAGTGCTGCACATGTTTTTTGGCCTTATCTAAAAAGGAATTTTTTTTATGAAGCGTATATAGGCATATATCAATCAAATTTCTCTTTCACTCACGATGCACTGTTATGCTGCGCTCCGTCTCGCCCAATGCATTCTTCGCAATGCATTTGTATTCGCCAAAATCGTGCTTGGTCAAAGGTCGCACTGTGATCCGCATCACAATCCGATGGACATGATCAACAGTTAGGGCATCGTAGGTGCCGCCCTGCAGCAGCTCCTTATCTTTGAGCCAGAAATTGATGGAAGCTGGCTGGGATTCGCTGATGCATTCGAGCGTTATCTTCTGACCCACGCCCACATAGATGGTATCGTAACGCGTCCAGATTGTGGGCGCAACTGTTGCCGTACAGTTATGGAGTGATTAATAGAAATAGAAATAAAACCATGGGCTTATCAAATACTCACAATTCACCACCAGCATTATCCGCTTGCTGACCGTTGGCGGCACTCCATTGGAGGCGATGCACAGGTAGGCGCCCATATGTCCGCGTTGCAGTTGCCACAACGTCAGATTTTGCGACTCCACGCTGTAGACTTCTTTCGCTTTCTCTTCGCCGTCGTCGTCGTGGTTGTCTGGCAGCCAGAGTATCGGTGCGTTCTCCTCGCGCCGCCAGGTTATCGTGGGCGGTGGCACGCCCGTGGCTGTGCAGGTGAGCGTCACATTCTGGCCGCTGGCACGCACCACATCCTGGCTGGTCTGATAGTCAACAATGTCCGGCGGCACAACCACGTCCAAGTAGCCCATTTGACTTTTCATCGGATCCGTATTTATTTGGCACATGTACCTTTAAATAATGCAGAAAGAGAGAGCGGACAG